GTGTGTTTCTGTGTTGCCCTGTAATGGACTGGTGACCTGTCCAGGGTGTACCTGACCTGCTTGCCTGGAGGTTACTGGAGATAGGCACCAGCCCCCCTTGACCCTACGTGGATAGGCAGGTATAGAAAATAGATGGATGGATGATTTTTGTGTCTGCCATTTTTGTTATCTAAAGGGGTTTAATGAAGACAACTGGAACTCTCTTGACCAGTCCAGTTGTCTTCATTTAACCCCTTTAGATTACCATCGCCTAGATGACTGAGAATCGTCACTGTCATTTTTATGTAGGTTCATACATCACATCTAGTTGCACCCATCACAGTAAATGCGTAGTTAACTTGTCATGTTTTAATTGTTGGTGAAATAAATTCTTACTTTTATAAACCTGACTCTTTTCTGAATCAAAACGAAGTGTGTACAATCCCCTGATAAATAAAGAATCCTAGAATCTTCTGATTAAACACCGTAAAGACCAAGCAGGGTTGATATTCTATATTTAAAGAGTATCACAGCTTATTGGTCATAAGTAGAGGTAATATATATTGAGCTCTTAAAGCACTCAATTTACCAAACCCTACACATCCGTTTACCCCATCACCCTGGAAACGGCGAGAAGATCCGGCCGGACGATCACTGGATGTGTAGGAGAGTAACATACGTATGTATTTTGGTGCTTTTAAAGCTTGATATACTACCCTGTACTTTGACGAATATGATGTGAATTTCCATATAAATATGGAGATCCAGTCTGATTGGTCTTTGAATGTTTAACCAGAAGATTTAGAATTCTTTGTTTATTCAGGGATTGTAAGACACTTCGTATTAATTCAAGAAGAGTCAAGTTTATAAAAAGCAAGAAATTTATTTTCTAAACAACTTAAACATGACAACTCAGACACTTTATGTGATTAATGGATCTAAGTGGATGGAATGTGAGGTGTGACGATGTGTGAATGTGATGTTATCAGAACCCTCGTATCTGAAGGAACTGAGTTCTAAGTGGGAGTGAATTTGGTCTGCATTAAACTAACAAAGTTGGTTCTTATCAAAAACGCATTAGACGCAATCTGTCGAGTCTACGTACCCTGATTGAAGACCCCCGTGGTAGATCTGGAATGTTGAGGTCCGGGGACCCCAGAGGTACCAAAGTCCGTAGAAGTGTAACGTGATGAAGGTTCTCTAATTTGTGGCAAAGAGCACAGCTACCCAGCTGGGTCAAGCTGGGTCAAACAGTACTTTTAAATCCACAGATTAAACAAGGAGCCACGATGTCTGCTCAAGATCATATCCATATCTGCTGCTGTTCCATCCCAGGAGAAGGACACTTCAAGTTCAGGATGATAATAATTAGATAATAATATTAATAAAACTCATTGATTTTATTACTGTTTATTATGATCATCATAAATGACCACTTGGTTCAGTATAAAGGTATTTTAATTACATGAAATGAATTATTATGCTTTGGGTATAATAATGATTAAGATGATTATGGTTGATGACAATAAAAGATGTGTTCAGCAAAGAAGGTCAGTTCACCTTATCCATCTAACACAGAGTCCAGATAAATGATAACTGCAACACATGTTTTTGATGCATGATCAAAGCTTTCTTGCTGAGAGAGTGGGCGTGTCCTGGGAGCTTGGTAAAACTGTAACCATCACTAGCTTCAGTCCAGTCCACTTGAACCAACATCATCCTGAGGAGATGGGACGGCCGCCCTGACCCTCTGCCAAGCTATTCCAGTCATGCCGACAAGGATAGTTAAGAATAAACAAAACTGTAACCAGCTAACGAAAACTCTACCCAGAGTTGTTGATTTCTGAGTTAAGTTAAGACGAGAATGTCCATCTGCCAAACGCTTGACAACTGTGTACCCGGGACATCTCTGGACCAGATGATCGGACACTCACGTCTCCCCTGCCGGACCGAGTGTCATCTTGGATGAACACATCCTCCTGATCTCTGGATCCACAAGAGGGTCTCCTGTTTGGGTGAGGTAGAACACAGGAATGCGTTTGATGCTGTTTTCTCTAAGTGAATAACTCAGTTAGCCGCAAAACATCATTTCCATCCAGAACGCTTCCAACTCTCTGTGAAAGAAACCTTCTAATAATTTCATTCACGCATCCAAACTCGTATTCTCAATTTAGCTTCCATCCAGCCACAGGTTTGCTTTTAAAACAAGTTTAATATCAAAGTTGTTAAAAATTGTCATTAAATTGTCATCCATGAATTGTCGTTTATAATTGTCATTTCAAATCTTCAAGTTTAAAATTGTTAGTAATAAAATTCCTTCATATTTAAACTTGCCTCATTATTGAAACGAAACGCAGAAAAGGTTTAGTATTTCTGGTTATTAGAAAAGCAAAGATCCCTAGCTTCTGATTCAAAATAACTTTTGCTATTAAATTTAATTATCTAAATTAAACATTAATCCTTGGATTAAACTTAGACCAAACAGGTTGGTGTATGAACTTAGATCGATGTATAAGTATCCGAGATATTTATACATGATCTAAGCCTCATAGGTTAATCTGATTGGTCATTTTTCAGAATCTCCAACTGAATAGCAACAGAGGTGATTCCCGTGTGTAGTTTAATCTCTACATAATAAACCGCAGTGCCGACTAGACCGGTCTCGGGATGTCTCCAGGTCACAACAGTTGTTATTTGCATCTTAGGAATAATTCTTAAGGAGTTGAAGTTGGTTCAGCTTTATTCTGAAGGAACCGTTTGCGGTCAGCTGTAGCATGAAACAGGTTTTTGACAGCTTGTCAAAATGTGCTCTGGGTTAAAGAGGTTTTGCTTCAGATGGCCGGTCCGAAGCTTTCTCAAGAACTCACAAGAACTGACTCACAATGAAGTGAGCTCTGTTTTAATGATCGTCATATTTTGATATACTAACAAATCAGAATTTGACATGCAGAAAGGGTTTTACCAACAAACATCAGAAAACATGCCTCGCAACAGATACAGGAGCTCTGATTGGTGGAACAGAAAGCAATGTGTCAGGAAATTAGCTTAACGTTGTCTTCGTCACGTGTCTGAGGGTGTGAGCTGTCAGAAGATGGTGATTCACTTCTTAAATCTAAAAATACTGATCATAACATAATAATATTCATTTCATCCACAGTAATTTAAGCACAGATTCATCAAAACATTGTTGTTATTCTTCAACCATTATTGTTCATTCAACGATATGATTATTTACTCATCTTGTTCATTATACGATTTGATTTTGAAAGTTCAGCCATCTTGTGCTGTGAATAAAAACCAGCCTTAGATAAGAGTGAGCTTGGAGGGACCTTGGCGAAGCAACAGTTTCATTCTCGCAGATTAAAGCACCAGTTAAGACTTATGTCTCCAAATGACCTGATACTGAAGAGGTGACCTGTAGATGGATAAACAGACCATTTCTGGAGGCTACAGATGTATCCTTCCGCCTTCTCCCAGGTGGAACAGATGTGGACTGATTTACAATCATCACTTCGGGAGTGTAAAAGAGAAGTTAATTCTCCATTTGGGGAGCTACTTGTAAACATGTAGTCTCCTGGTTTTGTTTGAAGGCTTAATTTCTGAGAGTTGGGACTTTGCTTCTGTGGTGTTTAGACTCTTTTTAAATTTGAAATATACTACTTAGCCATAGTTGTGACCCAAGGTTCTTTGAGTGATGTAAATGGTTGTTTTGCCTTGTTTGCCCCTGCTCCTGTTAAACTCCTCATGTGAACTAAATTCTACTCTCTTGTCTTCAGGATGACAAGTTTATTTTTGGTTTAATTGCCCAGCTGGGGATTAAACATTTGCCGGTTGTTGGTTCTCTTCTTTTACTCTTTTATTTTTACTTTGGGACTGTGTCTACTAATATTTATGTTAGAATTTCCAGTCCTTTGGCTGATGTATTTATCCTTATGATTAAGAAGGAATAAATCCTTTGTTAAACGAGTTCTTTATTACTCCTGCATGTTCTGGGTCAGACTGGGTTGGATTAAGCGATTCCCCAAACCGAGCCAAGTCAATGTCTGTTAACAAGACCATAACACAACTAATGGGACTTTAATGCCTGCATATTCCAGCTGATTACCCAACAGGGACAAGAGCATCAGAAAGCCTGGTTTTAGTTAAACGTAAAGGTTGAATTATCTTAATCCAGGCCACTGTCTTAATGAGACAATGTGTAATTTTTACCTTTAAACTCTGGAAATATCCATCAATATGTTGTTGAAAATGAATGATCACCAGTTGTTGAAAATATTGGCAGCTTTGTAACATATAACCTAAAAAATCAGGTTCCTGTCTTCAGCGGTCAATGGGCAATCAGGCGAGGCACACCCTGGACAGACAACCAGTCCATCGCAGGGCAACACAGAGACACACAGGACAATCAATCGCAGACACACTCACACCTAAGGACAATCTGGACAGACCAATCAACCTAACAGTCATGTTTTTGGACTGTGGGAGGAAGCCGGAGTACCCGGAGAGAACCCACACATGCACAGGGAGAACATGCAAACTCCATGCAGAAAGACCCCAGGCCGGGAAGCGAACCCAGGACCTTCTTGCTGCAAGGAAACGGCTCTAACCGCTGCGCCACTGCGCAGCCCTCCTATGATATATTTAACTGAAATATTATATTGTAACAACCAACAATTTATACAGGAAAATCATAACATTTTTGCATTCCAGTGTAAGTTACCTATTACAGGTGGAGAATGGGACAGACTAAAATAAGCACTGACTCTGCCCATTCCTTTTTGGGTTGTACTTCATGATGATATTCTAGATATTTGAATTTTCTGTTGATGTGACAGCCAAAAAAAAAGAGAGAAGAAGAAAAAAATAAAAGTCTAATTTAAGTTTGCTCATTTATTTTAAAATTCACTTAATTCATTTATAATCCCAAAGCTGTATGGACTCTGTTCTGAGTCCTAACATTTACCCAAAACCTGTCAGCCAAATCAGCATAAGGAAATAAATAAATAAAATACTGTTTATGTTTTACAACCTGACCAAATAAACAGGAAATAGAAAAATAATCAATACTGCCATGACATCAGATTTGCATTATACTTGAGACACAAAAATGTTCTGAAATAAAAGCAAAGTTTGACTATATAAAAGATCACCTCATATTCAGCGTGGCAGTTTTCAAGGAAACAGCATCCAATTGAGGGATCATATCATGAGTCATCGTTGACAAACACCTTTTACAGTCAAGGGCACCTCGCCAAATCCTTTATGTATAAATTAAAATTCAAAGTTGTGTGAAAACCTTAAAAGCATTAGTTTCAGAAGTTAACCCCATCTGTTAACACTGGTAGTGTAGCACTGAAAGACTCTTAATTATGGGTAAATTTAGCTTCATAATGGCCGTCTGAACATAGATTGTTTCCTAAAGTTAACCATTTGTAGACATGCAGCCAATGAATAGTTTGAGTTCTGTTGAAATTGGTTGATTAAAGTTATTTTGCCCACAGACAATGTTGACTCCAACAGTTTCTGGCAACCTTTGTGAGCTCTGGTGATTTAACCAACGTGTAATCTGAGCTCAATGTGAATGAAACTGATTGGGTTATAACATGTTTTGTAGTTTATAAAGTCAGTTGGCTGTGGTGGCCTTCATGAAATGGGTGTACCCCAAAAGTAATTCAGCTGTGCTTTACTGGATGATGCTTACATTTAAACTGCTTTTTAAAAAGTCCATTCATTTCAAGAATAGGGTTAGGGTTTGGGATGGACTGGCAGCCGATCCAGGGTGTTCAATAACTACTGGAGATGGACACCAGTGCTCCATGGCCCTGAACAAGATCAAGGACATTGGGTGATGTACATCAACAGCTATTCTGAAATGAACATGAATATATAAAAAATTCAATACATTCAACCAACTCTAAAGTACAAGTTTTACAAACAGATTTCCTTAGTTGACCACTTTTAAATAAAAACTCTGTCTGGTCTACTGTAGCTGGCATGCAGAAACCAGCCCAGGGGCGGATTTAGGACTGAAGAAGATCCGGGGCTTAACACACACATGCACGCACGCGTGCACACACACGTGACACGCACTAGTCAACATCATACATGTCTTGTACCACATAATTTTTAATCTGAAGATACATATTAAGCATATTCAGGGCAGAGTATTGTTCCTGTTAGTGTTTAGTGTGAGATGATAGTAAATATTCCCTTTCTTTCTCCATCAACTTTACCTGATAGTAAGCTAACTTTAGGCAAACCAGCAGCACAACAAATATTTTCAAAGAAGACTCACAAACCTGAGTCAACACCAGTCTTATCAAAGCTGGGGTTCTGTTGCGGTACTTTTGGTCTAAAAAACGTCCTTATGTCCATCTTCACACATGCGTTTCAGGCAGAGTGTAGAAGAAGCCGGCTGCTGAAGGGCTTCTTCTTCAGTGGTGGAGGCTCAGGCAGGCTGTATACAAACTACTGCCAGCTGCTCCCTCTCTGTTGGACTTTGGTACTGCATGTTACTTCCGCGATTTAGATCCGGGGCTTTTCATGAAACATCCGGGGCTTCAGCCCAAGTAGCCGGGCCTAACGCCGCCCCTGAACCAGCCATTGAGCCAACCTTTAGCTTAGACCCAGTTTTTGTTTGGGTCTTCTGTAACTGATAAACTAAGAAGGGCTTGTAAGGTTTTGGTGGTGCTGCAATAACTGTGAATGAAGAAACATAGGTGTATAAGATACCTCTGGCATGATGTACTTGAGACAGAGCTCCTTTGTTTCAAGGCTGATATTTGAGGGGAGGTCATAACCAACTATTCCAACGTTTTCGCTGGGCTGCCAGGGGCGAAGTTTCTTGCTCTTGATTTCAGAAGCTGACCGCAGAAGTGGCATCTGCCCACCAAAACAGCGTTTTATTAGCTTCTCCTGGGCTTGTCGAAGATGTTTCACTTCCTTCGCCACAGAATCTAGACCCAGCTCTGACAGTTTGACCCACAATGAGGCATTAAAGTAGTCATAAAGATGTGCGTCTACAGTATTCCAGGCACGGATCTTTTGAGAAAGAGCAGGTGAAAGACTCTTCTTAGAGCTTTCTTTTCGCATATTGAGTTTCACATACAGAATGTCCTGCAAATCCCAAGAGAGGAGATGTCGAAGTAGGACTAGAGATTCATCAAAATACTCAGAAATCATCACCAAGGAGAAAACTCTCTCCACCTCTGCCACAAATTCTTGTGCATAAGCCACGTCTGCTGCTGGCCGATCTTTGTCTCCACCCAAGTCAAAGGTCAAAGTGTTGTGTACATACATGGCATTGTCCTCCTTCGGCCAGTAGTACTGTAAGGGGTCTTCTAAGAAGGTCTCCATGAAGCCATCAGGGACTCGCCTAAATGCCTCGGCGTGGTTGATGTAGTAGGCAAACAAAGATTCAAACATAGAAGCTGGCTCTCTCAGGATAGTGATGTATTTTGTATTGTTTGGCATCAGGTTTTGCAGTTCATGTCTATTGAAGCGCATGTGATTGGCGATTATATTAGGTGGTTGTGTTTGAGGATGAACAAACTCAGCAGAGAAGACATTTGGGTAGCAAAACTGGTGACCACATGCTGGTTTGGGAAATGCCACTGTCAGGTTGTTGCGCTCAGCAAAGCGAAATAGCATGCTCTGCACAGTGGTGCTGGCTGTTTTGTGGGTCTTGAGGAAGACTATGTTGGTGTGCTTAGGCTTCAGATCGGAGTCTGTGTGAGTGTAGGAGGGGTACCCAAAATGGAAGGCCTCCAGATTCCTTAGATTAGAGACAGAAAAATTAATTTCAGGTTAAGAAACTGTAGAAAAAGATATCCAGTAACAAACAAGTGCATAGTAAAGAACTTTGCACAGTAGATTTCAAATAACAGAAAACAAGGAAGACAAAAAGCTAACAATAGTTTTATCTATTTATATCTTTTATGTTTTGGTTTCTGCATCAAAATGGCAGCACATGTCCAAGTATTCATTTACTTTATGAAGGTGGCCTTTTTAATTGTTTCAGGTGGAAAATGAACATAAATTTCTACCATCAGACTTTTCATTGTGTTTAGCAGAAATATGGGATTTCAGAAAGATGCCAAATGTATGATGTGTTCATATTTCAGTCACTCACCAGCTGAAGTAGATGCTGTTGAAGACCACAAGACTGAGAGCACAAATGAGAAGGGAGACCACACATTTCTTCTTTGACATCTTTTGATGCTAGTAAGAATAGGAAAAAGAGTACTTCACAATAGCACCTCGATAAAATGGCATAATTTGACAGAAAAAAATACTTTGATAGCAATAGAACAAGGAATCTGCTCGGACAACAGCAATGTCATGCCAATGTGTCCCAGGGTTGGTTTCATGGGATCTATTATGCAAATTTAACTTTTTGCATCTGCTTGTGTTGCCATATAGTTTTGAACTGCCTGTATAAACACTTCTAGCTAAAAGAAAAACAGTCCATCAATTTTCTGTCAGTCTTCGGTGTAGGAATTATATGCCTAAAACTCGCCTTTGGAAAAAATAAGAAAATACACACCCTCCTTCACCTGTCACATTCCTAGTCACCAAAATTGTTAGGGATCTAACATTTTTGTTTACTATGACTTTTAAACCTTTTCCAGTGGCAATACTCAGCGTGATTGGGATTGTGGGGTCACAGTTTGGTATTTTCTTCTACTTCTCCTCTACTTTTCAGTCCCTGCTCCATTGTGATTGCAAGGGCTGAGCCGGGCTGGTGTTGTGCCTGTAAGCTGCTGATTGGCTAGGAGGCGGAGACACTTGATTCAGATGCAGACATCATATATGTAGATGCCCCGTGGACTTAGCCTGGCCTGCCAGACTCGTCCTCTGTTTAATTCTGCACAGAGAAAGGGTCTGGGAACTCTCCTATTCCAATAACCCCACCCCCTGAGAATTCTAACTGAGCCAATCAGCACTGAGTAGCGTACGTCACACACCATAACGCCGAGTTTGTCATAAACATGGCGACTGAAGCGGAGTTCGCTGCGGCTCTTTCCTCTGAACACGTCTTTAAAACAACATTAAGTAGAAACGCTAAAAGCCTTTCTTCTAAAGAAAGATGTTTGTGCTGTCGCCAGACGCCATTTTTGACTACAGCTAAAAAACTACCTTATCGCGGACGTCACACACAGCGATGCTCAGTTTCTCATAAAGATAGCCCCATTGACTTGCATTCTTTTTTTTTTTTCTTTTTCTTTTTTTTTTTGTTCTTCTAAGGATCCATGAGTCGACTGGAAAGGGAGGAGGAGGCTTTCAGGCTTTAAAAAAACGAGCTGCTGGTCACCACCTTGGATGGGACTCCATTTGCCCCCAGTGCAATTATTTCCACTGAGGAAGGTGATAACCCTACTAAAAAACAGAAAATCAGACATATGGTTAGGGATGTAAGAAAATATTTATATGGCAATATATCATGATATTTATTCCTGCGATATTATATCGATAGTCAAAAGCTGTGTATCGAATGTTTGGAAGAATTTACATGCAAACGTTTGTGTATTTTCTTTTCTTTTGGTGCATTTCAAAGGCCAACCGCTAGTTGGCAGCAGTGTACAATAGATTTTAATTCCACCACTGAAATGTAAATCCCTCTATTATGGTTCAGATACTTCATGTTAGATATATTACGTATCAGTTTGGACTGTTTATTGAATTTTACTTATCGTATCGCTAGAATTTCATCAATACACATCCCTACATATGGTACAGCATGATAATAAAAATATAAATGAAATTTGACTAAATAAATATAAATATAAAATCCAAACATCCAGCCTAGAAAAGTCAATTGTAATCTCACATGATCTGTTTTCAATGGTACATCAGCTGTGCAAATAATGAGCATAGTTGCTCACTCTGCATTGACTTCAGCTGGGCTTGGAGAGTGAGGAACCCATTCAGTATGACACAAGTATAATTTATTTCCTTAATCAGTTCAGTCTCAGTGTTGTGATGTTGTCTAAAGCCTGACTGAAAACCAGGTGGGTTTTTTTGTCTCCAAAAAGTTGTTCAACTGGACCACAACTGCTTTTCAATCATTTTCCAATGAAAGGGAGATTAGAGATTAGTTTATAACAGGGTACGAACTTCTTTGGAATGTTCTTACTGTGTCTAGTTTCTAATTCCATTTGTGTTTTTTTAAAACACAGGAAAGGTTTCTCTTTACCTTGCTGACAGTTTCGTTTGCTGACTGCAAAACATCCTCAGAGCTGACGCTGATGGTGGCCTCACTTCCTACTCCGTTCTACACATTGGATCGTGCATGGGACTGCATCATTGGAGAGGGGCAGCAGAGGGCGACAACGTCCTCTGCTGCCCTCGGATAAACAGAGTAGGACGGGATGCCACCATCAGCGTCAGCTCTGAGGATGTTTTGCAGTTGGCAAAATAAACTGTCATCAAGGCAAAGAGAAACCTTTCCTGTGTTTTAAAAAAGAACCAAAAATGGAAAGGGTACAAACTACTCTGAGTAACTCGGACCACTGCAGCTCAGCCCGACCAATAGCCACAGCTGCCATGGGCACACTGACAGAGGCGAGGCTTCCAAGCGCAGGTGCCATCGGTCCCTCCGACCAACACCGGTAGGCAAGGTGGGCTAACTGTCTTGCCCAAGCACCCAACAGCATCATTTTCTTGTGGGACCCGGGATTGAACCTGCAACCTTCCGATTACTGGACAGCCTGCACTACCTCTTGAGCTACTACTACTGTTCCTGCATCAACTCCCAATCCCACAGAAATACTGCTGCCTGGCTTCATACTTTTTCACTTTGTGAGCTACTTTTGAACTAAGCGGATCAAATGGATCTACTGACAGCAAAAATTGTGGAGTGCGCACTGCAAAGCAACGCCAGAGGGGGGAAGTCACTAAAGAACGGGTGATGAGCCATGCAGCAGCAGAGTGTATCATGCACCAATGCAAGTACCAGAGAATATGAACAGACATCTACGATTGTGTGTTAATTATATTTTATGGATGGTGCCACTTTGAGATTATTACTGTGGCCATGCACAGAACGTAGCTGCCGGTAGTGCATATCCTATCAGTGCTCTCCGTCCTCTCCACTCAAAAGAATCCCCAGAGTCCATATTAAAGCTGCTTTTACCTAAATCTTTTATTTTATTATTTTTGACTCCAATTTGTAATATTTCATCCGTTTACAGTATTTCTCAGTTGCTTTGGTGCATTTCTCAGAACACTATTAACATTTGCACAGCAGTTAGTGCATTTGTCAAAACAATTAGTGCAAACTGCAAAACCTAGTAGATAGCCTGCAAAAGCACATCACATGCTCAAAATTGATCATCCATTCCTCAAAAGCAAGTATTCATGACAATGAAACTGTCAGTGCCATCAAAATGAAAAGTCTCGACACCATCTTTATGAACAAGATAGTCAAATGGCTTTGTATTTGGTACAAACATTGTAGAGTATGTTTTGTAGAATTGCTAGTGTACTGCATGAAACTACAAAGTACTGTAAAGCAGTTTACAGTGCTGAACATAGAAGACCTGCTTTACCAGCACATACTAGTGACGGATCTCCTTCACCCTTTCACAGTTTTGTTCGAACGGCACTTTATACAACTGCTTCATGCAGATTTCATTTTTTGAGAGCTCTGTCAATTGTTGAAATTGAAACTGATTCAATATTGTCAAATACCGTGTTATTCTCTATGACAGCGCTTTGAATTTCTCTCAACTTTATTGCATTGTTTGCAATGACCATTGCACAAATGGCTTCCTCTTGCTGTGGGGTAAAAAGGGGCCCTCTTCCACCTCCGCGAGGTTGTCTTTCAATCTTATGTGGTGCAGAGTAAAATTACAGTAAAATTACAAATACAGTACAGTAACATGAGACATGTATGAGATGGTACAGTACAGTACAGTAAATTACTGAATGCATGTTTTCCCTACGGAATGTTTGAATGATTGAACTGACAGTAGTTCTTCCAATATTGGGTTGTACCCTTCGACCAGCCTTCTCCATGGTGAGGCCATGATAGACAACATGGTCCACAATTGTAGCCCTAATTTCATTAGGAATGTGCCTGTATCTGCCTCTTCTCCCTCTTCCCCTTCCCCTTCCTCCCCGCATCCTCACCCCACTTCCACGATGCTGACCTTCCATTTTGTGTCACAGAAGTGTAGAAATGGTACACACTAGCTCCTGCTCAGTTCAAATATGCTTGCCAATTGAGGATTCACCTCCTCATGAGTGACAGCTGAAATTCACCTGTGATCAATTGTTCAATTTAGGAGGCATTTCCAGGAAAAAATGATAAAGAAAAGTATAGAATTTGCTTGACAGGTGACTAATATTTGACATTTGATAACTAGCTCAACAATTTTGTGTGTAATGACTCAAGTGATGAAAGTAAGACTATTAGTTTTATTGAGAACAGCTATTCAGCATCCATAAGTATAATTAATTTTGACTGACATGACATAAGCAAATGGAAATGTCAAAAAACAGCAGAGAAATATGTGAAAGCAACTGATACATGTCCAAAATCATTTGCAGTTTGCTCAGAGAAAGGAGAAATTGCTACTATGATGTGCACAAATGACTAAATGTTGTGGACGTTGAACTAATAGTTATGAGAATTTTAATTCTGATCTGAGAAACGCACCAAAGCGACTGAGAAAAACTGTAACATTATCCCAAACCACTTCATACATTGTCCGATTGTCACCAGGACACGCACCAATTTTCATTAGTGTGAGATAAGTTTCACCTGAGAAAAGTAATTTATGGAGATTTCCATGGAAACTCCTTAAAAATAGGGTTTTCAAAATGGGTGTACAAATTGTTTGACAAGATGTTCAACAATTTTGAGTGCAATGATGACACACGCAATGAAATGAAGACTGTTAGTTGTAAGGACAATGACTATTCAGCCGGTACAAGTATAAATAATTGTGATATTCATGATAAAAGCAAGGAGATAGTGATGAATAGCAAGTCAAAAGTGACCATTCTTTAGACATTTGTACTCAACTGCTTCATGTCCAAAGGCACTTGAACGAAATGAACATTAAACCGCCACTAGGTTGTGCCAAAACGACTACATGTTGTGGAGGTTGAACTAACTGTTGTGCAAAGTTTAGTTCTGTTTTTTTGTTTTTTTTTGTTGTTGTTGTTTTTTTACCCCAGTGTCCTGTCTGGCTGTGAAACAAACAGAATTGATGTCTGAATGCTGGTAACAAGCCTTACAGATTTACTCTCAGGTGGAGCATCAAAGCGTCTGCTTTTAATGTCACGCCTGATACTTAAAACTTTATTGTTATTGTTTTGAATGCTTTGTAATTCCGACCAGACTCGGAGTCAGAGGTGAAAGAGAAAGGGAAAGACAAAAGGTGTGTGTGTGTGTGGGGGGGGGGGGGGGGGGGGGGGGGGGGGGGTCCACAAAAATAAACAATAATGAACAAGAGTCTGCTTCTAGACCTGCAGAAGGAGAAAGGATAGAAAAAAATGGGACACACAACAATACAACAGGAGCAAGCTATCACTGCATCAGCCTGATGAGGAAATACAAAATCAACATTGTTTAACTGAACAATCACACGATAATAAATCATAGTGCATTTAGTGGCAACGACAGCCTTAAGACATGTGTTGAACGTGCCCAAGCCCATACTTTTGAGAGCACCATGTGAGCACCTGTGTGTGTACATGCTCTTGTTTATGTAAGGTTTCTCTATAAAAGCGTCCAATGGAGAGTGTGAGGGATCACAGATCTGCCCCCGAAAGATGTGTAGGAGACGGAGGGAGCTCCAAGTCCCAGAGATCCAGGCACTGCCCCAGAACACAGGAAGCCCAAGGAGACTGCAACCAGAAAGGCCCCCGCCCCGTCGAGAGGCACAGAGGATCGCCCCGGGGGGCCACAACCAGCAGCCGGCAGAGTCCCGGGAGATATCAGCGGCAAGCTCACAGGCCCGCCCGCAGCCTCCCACCCCCTAGCCGGCCGAGTCCGGGACCCAGCGACCTGGGACCCAGGGGCGACCACCCCCGCCGGGGACCCAGCAGAGCCCAGGGACCCAGACCCCACCAGACAGCCACCGGGATTGATCAGGCAGACGCCAAAAATCTTAAACCCCCTGACCCGGGAGCTACGAACATTCAGGCAGACCAAGGCACCACACTCCACACCAG